TCCTCCAGGGTTATATCTTGCCAATGCCCGGAACTTTTGGCTTGTACATAGGCTTTTTGTCAAGCTAATTTGGAATCCTTTCTTCCTCCAGAAAAATGGATCGCCCCGGCTTCATTGAGACCCCCGGCGGCCGTCGTGCCACTCGCAACAGTTCTGTCTTCGAGGGTAGCGAGAATGAGGTCTCCATCTCTCCCTCCCTAGAGAGATCCAAGTCCGCCTCCCGTCGTCGTACTTCAGCCAAAGTCAAGACTGAAGAGGACGATGCGCCTGTGAAGGTCACCACCAATGGCAAGAGTACCACTCCCAAGCCCAAGTCCGCATCGCGCGTGGTGGACGGTTGGGAGGAAGGCCTCGATCCCAAGGTGGATTACAGCGGACACTTTGAATTCGGTGGCTCCCTGGGTGTGTTGTCCATGATGATCGGATTCCCCATGCTCATGTACTACATGTGGATTGGTGCCACCTACTACGATGGCAAGTTCCCTCGCCCCGCGGAGAACGAGAGTTACGGCGACTTTTTCGCACACCTGATCAATCTTGTCTACACTGGTGCTTTCCCGTCGGTTAAGGCGTGGACTATCTACTGGGTTTTCTTCATCTTCGAGGGTGCGTGTTACGTGCTTCTTCCCGGTGTGAGCGTCTCGGGTCGCCCCCTGCCACACATGGGTGGCAAGCAGCTGCCATATTACTGCTCTGGTGTGTGGTCTTTCTACACCAGCATTGCATTGGCACTCATTGCGCATGTCACTGGGGTCTTCAAGCTGTACACCATCATTGATGAGTTTGGCCCCTTGCTCACCGTTGCCATCCTTTCTGGATATATTGTCTCTTTCATTGCCTACTTCTCGGCTTTGGCGCGCGGCGCAGAGCACCGTATGACTGGCTACCCGATCTATGACTTCTTCATGGGTGCCGAGCTCAACCCCCGTATGTTCAAGATCCTCGACTTCAAGATGTTCTTTGAGGTCCGTCTGCCTTGGTACATCCTGCTCGGCCTGTCTATGGGCGCTGCTGCCCGCCAATGGGAATTGTATGGTTACGTGTCTGGCGAGGTCATGTTCCTTGTCATGGCTCATTACCTTTACGCCAATGCCTGCTCCAAGGGTGAGGAGTGCATTGTTTCCACTTGGTAAGGTACCTCGCGCCTTAGAATCAAGATTGTTTTCTAACATTTTGCAGGGATATGTACTATGAGAAGTGGGGCTTCATGCTGATCTTCTGGAACTTGGCTGGTGTGCCTCTGAGCTACTGTCACTGCACCATTTACCTCGCCAACCACGACCCTGCTGAATACCGCTGGAACCGCTACTTCCTTGCCTTCCTCTTCGTCGCCTACCTTTTCGTCTACTGGGTTTGGGATACCACCAACAGCCAGAAGAACCGTTTCCGCCAACAGGAGCGTGGTACCATGGTGTCCCGCAACACCTTCCCGCAGCTCCCTTGGCAGACAGTGGAAAACCCCAAGACCCTTACTGCGGCTGATGGCTCAAAGATTCTTGTGGATGGGTGGTGTAAGTTCATGCCAAATATCATAAATGTACAAGTCCCAATACTAACAACGGCATAGATGGCAAGGCCCGCAAGATCCACTACACATGCGACCTTTACTTCGCTCTGAACTGGGGCTTGATTACCGGCTTCTCAAGCCCGTTCCCTTGGTTCTACCCTGTTTTCTTCGCTTGCATGATCAGCCACCGTGCTCTTCGTGATATCCAGCGGTGTCGCACCAAGTACGGCGAGACTTGGCTCGAATACGAACGCCAGGTGCCTTACCTGTTCATCCCCGTGAGTAACTTGATCTTGAAGACTTTCCCAGCGCCTGTGGCTAACCTTGTACACCATAGTATGTCTTCTAATCGCAGCCCGCTGCTTTCCCTTGGACTCGTTGGGGCCTCGGTAGTTGAGAGCCCAGGGGATTTTTCTTCTTTAGGTCTGGCTAGGCCATCATTCAGCCAAACAATCTTGGTGTAACATATATGTATAAAAACAAAACCTCGGATAGACTATTAATACCTGCATCGATCCATGGATCATGAAGCAAGATCTTTCCGGTCACCGTATGGTGGCCTCTGACTTATTTGCAAACCACGTTATGAACTTTTTATGACTTTTTTGTACGATTGCGCCGAGTCGCCCGGACTCTAGAGTCGATTCAGAAGTGAAGACATTATTTTCTATTCAATTCAATCCGCAGTTTTTGCGTTAAAAGGTAAAACCAAAGACATCTACATAAAACCGAATTGAGACGTTGGCCAGTTGATATCAGCACATGACTGCCCCGCGTGTGTTATCGATAATGCTTTCACGCCTCAATCGTCCGTATTCTTGTGGTTTCAATTGACTTCTCGATCTTATTTGCAACGTATTTCTATCTTTGCAAAGAAAAGGAAAACACCATGCTCATAAAAGAATCCTATCATGATGTCCCCACCAAAGCGGATGGACAGGGCACGATGCGTATGCACACCATGGTCCCTCTACAGCACACATCTCCCCTCTATAAAGCCATTGCTCCTTCGTAGTGTCAATTCTAACGATTTATCAGGCATCTATGTCTTCCACCCGACAATCCCGGGTTACCCCAAAGCCCGCTTTCCCGGAGTTGTAGTTTTCAGCGAGATCTATCAAGGTTCGTGTTCCCATTGCGATGATGCCCGAACATCTCAACTAAAGATCTTGACTCGCAGTAACGGGCCCCGTGGCACGCTTTGCACGCCAGATTGCAGGCCAGGGCTACATCTGTGCTGCTCCTTCGAGCTACCATGAATTCACTGGTCCGGAACCTCTGAAGTATGACGCAGAGGACACGGACAAGGGGAATGCGTGGAAGATTGGCAAGGTACGCGAAATAACACAGCTTCCATGAATACATGCTTTACTTGCTTTTTCTATTCTTGTTCTTTATTAGGGGTTGCTCTCTATTTTTTGGCTTGAATTCCGGCGCTGACCGTCTATCAGAAACTTGCCGCTTATGATGAAGACGCTAGTCTCAGCGTGGATTATCTGCTCTCACTACCCACTTGCAATGGCCAAGTTGGTGCCACGGGCATGTGTCTGGGCGGCCATTTGGCCTATCGTTGCGCACTGGATAGCCGGGTCAAGGCGAGCGTGTGTTACTTTGCCACGGATATCCACAGCAAGACCCTTGCCCTAGGTAAGAACGATGATAGTTTGGAGAGAGCCCGGGATATCAAGGGCGAGATGCTTATGGTATGTCTTACTTTCCTCTCCATTGATTTTCATTTGGGTTCAGTTACTAAATAGTTACAATGTCTAGATCTTCGGCAAAAACGATAACCACGTCCCGCCCGAAGGACGCGATCTCATCCGCAAGACCCTGCATGATAAGGGCGTCTTGTTCAGTTTCTACGAAGTCGCTTGGGCGCAACGTGAGTTAAACACCTCTCTCAACACTATCAAACACAAGTACGCTGACATAAATACTTATTCAGATGCCTTTATCCGTGATGAGCTCAGTAAGGGCCGGTATGATCCAGCTATTACCAAGGTCTGCTTTGAGATGCTACTTGAGCTGTTCGGACGCACCTTGAAGCTGGATCTGGGCGATCATGATGGGCAAAAATTGGTGATCGAGGATGTGTGTTAAGAGGAGCGTTCGAGTACTTGTCAAAATTGCATGAAATACCGGACAGAAGGAGGGGCTGATTCGCTAAAATTGGACGTGAATCAATCAATTTCAATTTCCAATGGGACTAGATCGAGTTCTTAAGGGGTATACTTATAGTAAGTACCATGTGAAATACTCCGTAGAGGTACAGAGTAACGGTACAACACTGCAGGCACAGAACATGATGAGCATAAATATATCCCAATGGTCCAGTATTCTACAGATGCAGAGTTCAGAGGATATGTGTTTGCTAAATTGTGGCTTGAGTCCATCTGGTCGACCTGGCGACCATATTATTGTTCTCGAGCAAGGGTCGAGGTCACCACTTTATTCCCAAAAACAAGAAAAAGAAAAAGAAACCAACATCAACTGATCTAGGGAGATCTGCAAGTATCCATAATATCAGAAGAGCCTGTGCTCTCTACACATCGCAGCAACTTCATACCATTCAATGCCTAATACCAGGGCTTAAGGCGGAAGAGTATACTATTATTAGTGACTGGACCCAAAGGGATCACCATTGCCACACTCCATTTTCAATGAATTGTTTTGATTTTGGATCAGATTTTAGGTTGAATCGATTTGAATCGAAAGCCCGAAAACTTGGAAGTTCGTCTGCAGACGGTCTTTTTTTCCTCCAAGCCACACTAGCGCCAGCCCTGCGAGTCCCCCGAGTAACCCGTGGGAATCAGCTTCGTTTCTTATTTCCCCTCACAGTACCCTCTACACTGCACAGCTACACAGCTACATAGCTACACAGTCTCACTTCTCTAATTCTACTCTAACTTCAACCTCGACCTCGACCTGGTTTCACTAGAGAACCACCGATCTGGACCGGTCCTGCGCGCGGTTCAGGACGCTCCCCCATCTTGAACTCTCAGATCTGAAGTCTCTTGTCAACATTGCCTCACGTCTTTTCAACCTCTCCGTTTGAACAATCCAATTCGCAATGGGGTCCACTCAATTCGGGAACTTTCACGTAAGTGCAGATCGTACCTGGAGACTGACCCTCCAATGGGCAGATACTGACCGCACACTCGTATGGGTACCACAGGACTTCTGTCGCGACTCAACCCTACCAGTCTGCAATGTGAGTGAGATCTTCTTGAAATCCCCCTATGATGGCTTGAAATTCTCAACTGACTGTGTCATTCATCGCGTGCAGCTTTTCACCAATCAAACTGCGACTGATGCCTTCGGCGCGTGCGATCTGACCGGCATTCCTCTCAGTGGGGATAGACACCTTCGGAACTTAGGTACGATATACGAAGCCGAGGCTGATGTGATTGGGGACGAATGATGCGAGGACGGTTGCTGATTTCTGATAGGTTCGATTCTACTGGCCTTCTTCGCCATTATCTTGACCGTGGGTATGATATGGAGATCGGACAAGAAGCACGCTGCGGTCGGCCGGAGGTATGGTATATCTTTGTTTTCTCTGTGGAAATATCAACTGACATGGCGGTGTGCGCAGGGAAATGCAATTGTTTTTGCTCGGTTTCGTCATTATTGAGATCTGCGAGATCTTCACAGTAGGCGGCTTCCCGCTGAGCGACGCAGTCCGAAAGGTATGATTTCTACGGGATAGACTCAAGGCCTCGGCTGACAGAGCCATCCAGGGGTTTTCTGCAGTACACATTGCCGCGATCACGGCGACTTGCTGGGTCCTTCTCATGAATGCACTTGTCGGCTTCCAGTTGCTTGACGACGGCACTGCAGCTTCCATCGGTCTCATCGGCGCATCTGCTGCGGCCCTCTTCATCGGGACAGGCTATATTGCCTTGGACACTGGATTCGATTGGACTGGCCGCTTCCAGTCAAGCTATGATGCGCCAAATCGCAACATCGCCCTCTATGTTCTGTACCAGCTCTTCCCACTCATCTGCGTTGTCTTGTTCTACCTCCTGGAAGCCGTCCTCGTGCTCCGGGTCCTTGGCGAGTTCCGACCAATGCGTAAGTATACCACACTGGACTCAAAATAAACATGTGCTAACTGTGCAACAGTGTATCTCACCGGTGCTGGCTTGTTGTTCGCAATTGGTCAGGTCTTCAACTATGTGATAAGCACCCACTTGTGCCAGGCCTCGGATGGCAAGATCAATGGAGCTTTATTCGAAACCCTCTTCACCCTCCTTTCTGTCTCCGGGGTCTGGGCCTTCTGGAGTAGTATCACTGAAGACGACTGGCCTCTGCCCGTGGCTGGCGGTGGTTACAATTGATTTGATATTTATGCCATTTGCATTATCTATGACTTTCCTTCGTCAGTTGCGTGCGAATTCTAACGTCTCTAATTATCCTTCAGCCATACATAACTTTCTCCACCCTTGTTTACGAGTCTGGATCTTGAACTGGGATTGTCGACATTGTGATACCCCATTTCCTTCATGTTTCACGATTCATCTGCCATCTCTTACCTTTACGGTGGTTATCATGCCTTGCTTTGTGACTCGTTCCAGCCCATCTACGTTTTATGAATTTGCCTGCGGGAGTTTTCATTTCCTAGTCCAACTACTGGTCGACACTTCCCCCGTCGGCGTTTATCCGTTAATTTGTTCTATGACAGGTACCATGTACTTAATTGTAACCATGTCAGATAATCGACTTTAGCTATCTCACCTTTCCCGGTTTCATCAACTTTGCCTAAAATGGCCGATCCCCCAGACCGAATCGTTCAGGGGAAGGCTTTTGTGTAAATGCCCCTCGATTCTCTTATATTGGGTAGGTACATATGTAGTCTCTGATGCTACCTACCTACCCTAATACGGACATTCGGGAAAGACAAGCGTTCTAATGCGACTCAGTGTGACCACCAGAGCATGCTAGTTTGCACATTGCTCTATATGCCCGTCTATCAATTGGCCGCGAATGTGACATCCATGCCGAGGGCTGTCAATCTCTTTTGCTGCGAATGACTCTAAAACTTCGGTGTATATAATCAGCAGCCATCTAATTCAACAATAGCGTAACCTCGTCCATTTATAACCTAACAGATACGAAATTTGAACCTATCCTTCTCGGTTCTTTGTTTTCAACTCTCGCCAAAGGTTCTCGAATATGCGTTTTAATATCGCCGCTCTTGTCCTCGCCTCGGCGTTGACCTCAGCTGCAGGCACAGCTCCTGTGGCCAATAATACCCACATTCAGACCTCCTGTACAAATCTCTTTCTATAAGCTCAACTTTTGTAATTGGGGCAAACTAGCATGCTAATGCAAAGTACACGTACAGTGCGGCAACATAATCTAGATATCGTCCGGCTCCTCCCAGAGGCGTGTAATCTCGCTGCTTGTCTCAGCTTGACGGCCGAACTTAGGTGCATTGCTAACGCTATAAACAATGGCGATCCAGCTGCTCTGCAGAAATGTTTAACGACTTCCGTGCCTCAGGTATATTCTTCTGCCTTCATCGAGTTTGCTTTGGGGGCGAAAACTAAGATCCGAGTCTAGATCTGCTCATGTGTCGCTTGTGTTCCAGGGCTTGAAGATATGCTTGTTGAACTCGGTTTCTGTCCGGGCTCAAATGATGGTGACGATGAGCCTCCTTCTCGATAGACTCCATGCGGCCATCAGCCGCTTGCTAGTTGGGGATCTTGTCATTGCATGTCATAGTTCAGGCTTCTTTCAGTCCTCTGTGCATACATAGTAGTCAGTCCCATTCCTGTAGGAATGCTAGCTGTATTTATGCTCTTTTCGTCTTTATCGGCGTTAATATTTAACCTAGTATGAGGGACATATATGTGAGGGCTAGGCCAAGACTACCTAGATAACATCTTCCCCTTCAAGCCAATTATCGCGTTATGTCATATGTAGCGATAACCAGAGTTGAGTTACAACTCAGAAGAATCTATCTCTCTAAGAAGTCATCAATGATTGGCAGATTAGTATAGAATGAGTTATGTACAATGGTTATTCATGAGTATTCAAGGGAGGATATCGAGACCTTCTCAGGAACTGAGAACACAAGAGCCGTAAATGATGTATGTGAATCAAAAGTTCATTTGAATATATCAACAAGGAAGCCATGCTTAATCAAAACTTTTTGCAACTTCATAGTCGAACTTTGACATCGACACATGGAAGAGTCCATTCCCGTCTCCCCAAGAGGCTGCGCACCCACTCCAACCCAACTCCTGTCCACTCGTTGGGCCTTGACTCCATTCCACTGGGGGAAAGTCGTTGCTGGACGCCCTCCAACGCAGCACCAGCCAAGGCTTTGGCGGTGGAGTTCATAGTATCGAAAACAAATTCCGTCAGACCCTCACCAGACACTGTCGCTTCGGATGTTGCGTTGCCCGAGATAGCATAATCGCCAGGTTCTGAGGTATAGCGTGGTGCAAACCAATTACTTCGTAGGTCAAAGATGCATCGGTCCGACCAATGACATGACGAGACGAAGAGGATCAGGAGCAATGCGGAGCAGTAGATACATGGCCGGTGGATGATGTATGTCAAGGCAACAAACGAGATGATGAAGAGCGGGGAGGCGTTGGTCGGGATAAAAAGGAGAGGTAGCCAGCTGCAGTACAGGCCATCTGGGTTAGTCTAAATCACCTTTGCTGGTTGGATGCTTCTCTTACCTTCGTAGACAGAACATGATGGGGTTTTGCGGGCGCTGGCGTTCTGGCGGGAGCGTGCAGGTGGATGGACAAAAGCGTCGTTTGACGTAATTAGAATATTAAAATATCCTGATGGACTATTCCAGTGACCACCTTCGAACTGAGTAACTTAAAGTGGCCTAGAAGAAGTAAAAGTAATTCGATTCACTAATGACGCGAATCGGGCAAGAAATGACACTAGCCACAGTCCGCCACAACTCGGCAGGCTCCGCCACACCCACGGCTTGAACAATATTACCGAGAGTTCTTCTCTCCTTCACCCTTCCTCTCTACTTCACCACGTTCTTCAATTTCATCTCTCTTTTCTCGTACTTATCTCTGATTTGCTCTTTTGTCGCCTTTTCTAGCCTTTTCTAGCCTTTGTGATTCCCAATTTCATACTCTGTGCCTCTTGAAAGAGAGTTTCTGAGAGCTCTGCAAAGCTTGGATCATATCGGCGGAGGTCGCCTGTAACCACGGCGTAACGGCAGAAATGTCCACCCCCACCGATCTCCAGGCTCTCTTAGCCAGTATCCGACCCCGTCCTTCTCCTTCGAACACTCCTGGCCAGGATAATCCTCAGGCCCAGCGCCAATCGTATTACCAGCCCAGTCTGTTCCCGCCGCACCCTCAGCAGCAGCAACCCTACGATGGCCAGAGCTACCCTCATCCCCAGTCGCATGGCTACCAACATCCATCGGTAACCTCGACCACCCAAAGTCCTGCCCCAGTGAATGTCCCCCCTCATCAGGGCTCTGATATCTTGAGCCCTAACATGCCTTCTCCTCGGGGCGAATGGCCCCAGCAGCCGCAACCGCAGCACACCAACCCAGGCTCTGTAGACCTTTTGAATCTTCTCAGATTCAGTCAGCGTCCCGGTGCTTCCCCCCAGCCACAGGCCCCAGCTGCAGCTCCTGAGCACCTGCAGTCCCCGCCTGCTCAGGGAGCTCCTACATCGCACGGACGAAATATTTCTGCGTCTGACTTAGTTGCTACTTTGTTCGGTCAACAGGCCCCTACTGCCCCTGCGGCTGCGCCCGCTGCCCCTCCCCCGGCATTCCAGTCCGGTCAGCCCGAGGGCCCTAATGAGAACACACAGGATATGTTACTTCGCCTGCTCAACCGTTCTCAGCCAGATCCTGCTGTCGCCGAATCACCGGCGCGGGTTTCAACTCAGCAGGCACCATCTATTCAGGCTGTCGTCGATGAACATCAGAGTCAGAAAGCCAAGAATATCTTCATGGAAGTTGTGGATGAGAGTCCCAACGCGCCTGCGAACCCGGAAACGGTCGTATCGCCCAACTCGAAGGACTCAATGTTCACCTATGTCAATCCGTTTGACCAATTGGCCGCTATCTCACCTATTAACAAGTCTCCCCAGTCTACCTCTGATATCCAGAGCCCAGCTGTTGAAGTTATGCAGAAGCAAAAGATCAATGTTTCTGCTAAGCTGGAGCCCTCGCAGACACCCGAGCCTGCGGCCCCCAAGGAGGGGACCCAGTCGCCAATCTTGCTTGATGATCAGAGAGAGGCTGTGCATGAGGTCGTTGGTCGTCTCGTAGATGAGATTGGCCGCTCTCTCAGCGGCGATGAGTCTCAGGCTGCAACGGAAGCCAAACCTGCTGCTTCTACTGCCCAGGAGGAATCCTCTGAAGCAGTCATTTCGTCGATCGCTAGTAATCTTCGCGAGACTGCTGCTGAATCTAAAGAAGCGGCAGGCTTGACCCAGGTTGACGAGCTCGCGAAGAAGACAGAACCTTGCGCGGTTCCGGTTGCCCCCAAGGCGACTGAGAACACTGAGGCTCTAGCTGACAGCTGGGAGAGTGCGGAAGACAGCGCTGAAAAGGAAGAAGAACGAGTTGTCTCTGTTCACAACTTCCCAATGAGGCCCTTCATCTCCATTGCTGTGAAAGCTACGTCTGGAAAACTTACGACCTTCCGTGATGACGATGTCATGGATATTGCTCGTCTGAAGAAGGAGTTCGATCAGCTTGACCGCTCGTTGACTGCGGCTACCTCCGAATACATTGTGTACGCGCTCGCGAAAACTGGCGGCATCAGAATTATTCGACAGGACGACGGTAGTGACCGACAGGTGTTCCGTTCCACCCGTGATCGCGTGTTCAACGTTGCTCTGTGCACAGCTCCTACTGCGACTGGTGACTCTCAAGTCCAGGCCATCCTCGGCATTGGAGTCAGTGGCTCTGTATACTGGGCTTTGATCTCGCGTTCTGGAAAGGATTTCTTTGATATGGATGCCTTGGAAAGTGAAAGCTTGATCTTCCCACCTTTCCCGGCCTCAGACGAGAACACCTCCGGTGGCCAGCTGAAAACGCGGGCCAAGCGGAGCACTCGTCACACCAACTTGTTTGCCATTGGTCGGGGCAAGAACATCTACGTTGTTTCGCCAAAGGCAGCAATGAGCCCTACCTACGGCGTTTCTGGTACTCAGCGGATAGTTAATACTGAGAAATTCTTCAAGGAACGTGCATTGAAGATCTCCACTGGGAAAGCCGGCAAAGACTTCGCTTTCAGTGACGATGATTCCGTCATCGCCTCCTTGGATAAGACTGGCCGACTGCGTTTCTGGGATATACATGATATGCTTAGCGACGCGAGCTTTGTGGAAGGCCCTGCTCCTGCCGAGATCCGGGTGCCCTTGACTACCTTTGTCACTGGCTCCCCGACCGAAAAGTCTTGGCCCACTTCGGTGCTGTTCCTCGACAAGCTTCGCGCTTATTCGCGATCTATGGCGCTCCGTTATGTTTTGGTTGGACTCAAGCAAAACCACACCTTGCAGCTCTGGGATATTGGGCTGGGCAAGGCCGTGCAGGAGTTGAAGTTCCCGCACGAGAACGAGTCCGATGCCATCTGCAGCGTAGCTTATCATCCATCATCGGGGGTCATTGTCGTTGGGCATCCCACCCGTAACTCTATCTACTTTGCCCATCTTTCGGCTCCTCGGTACAATTTGCCTCAAATGTCACAGGCAACCTACATTCGAGACCTCAGTGATAAGGACAACACCCTGCCCAAGCCTGAGTCTACTGCTTGCTTGAGTGGAATTCGGGAGATCTCTCTCGGTTCCAAGGGTCAGCTGAGAAGCTTGGAGCTTCTCCCTATCACCAAGTCCGCTACTGACAAGCGCGGCACTGAGGAGAATCCCCTGTTTGAGCTCTACGTTATGCACTCGCGCGGTGTGACCTGCTTGAACATCAAGAAGGAGGATTTGGGCTGGACTGCGGATAACAAGGTTATTCGCCCTATTGATGCATTGGAGCACGGCTTGATTGAAATCAGCGATCTTCAAACTTTCCCCACATACGCCACCGACGATCCATCTGTCAACGGTGACACAGCCTCCATCCAGTCTCGCGTTGGTCCCAAGGAATCGGCGAAAAAGCCAGAGATTGGAGAGTTGGCTTCTGGCGTTGCTCCTTCGCGTAACGCTTCGCCTACCAAGTTGGCCAAGAAGAAGGAAGAGCTCAGTGAGCTAGCAGCAACACCTCTCGTGGTTGAGAAGTCTGAAAAGAAAAAGAAGAAGAAGGCTGCTGCTGCCGCCGAAGCTGCCAAGGGAAAGGAGCCATCCGTCACTACCGGTGTCGAACCTCTGCCAGTTCCCTCCGCCGCTGCCAAGGAATTCGAGACTCTTGCCTCTTCTACTACGGCGATGGGTGCGACTCAGGCCGCCGAACACCCAGTGCCTGGTTTCGGTTTCTCAAATGAAGCTTTCAGCAAGCACATCCAGACCCTGCAGGGCAGTGTTTCAAGCGAATTCAACAAGAGTCTTGGCCATGAGTTTGAGAACCTCCATCGTCGCTTCGACGATGAACGTCGCAGCTGGGATGCTGCCTCGTCAGCCAAGCAAGACCAAGTGTTGCGCCTAGTCTCTGAAACGCTCTCCGACAACGTGGAGAAGAACTTGGCGCGTATTGTTTCAGCCAGTATCCAGACCGATGTTATTCCTGTCATCGCCGATGCCACCTCTGCAGCAGTCAACAAGCAACTTAATGGCGCTGTCTCTCAACAGCTTGGAGGCGCGTTCAATGAGGAGTTGCGGCAGGTTCTTCCCAAGGCTGTGATCAATGCTATGCAGCAGCCACCTGTGGTGAAGGGTGTCTCCGACTCTGTGGCACAGAAGCTTGCGCCTCGCATTGAGGCCGAAGTTACCCGGGTCATGCAGTCTTCGATTGCCCCCATGCTTGAGAGCTTGGCACGTACCACGAAGAAGGTGGAGTCGGATATGGAACGCCATTTCAAGACTCAGATCAGCCACTACGAAACCCAGCGCCAGAGTGATATCGCAAAGATCGAGGAGATGTCGACCGCCCTACGTGGCTTGTCCAAGACCGTTTCTTTGTTGGTCGCAAACCAGAGTCACCAAAGCCCGCAGCACGAGGTCCCCCACCGCGAGATCTTGAACGTCAACAAGCGCTCCTCGACTAGACAGCCAAGTGATAATCACGTACGCATGTCGCAGTCGTTGTCTCAGCCTGTCCTTCAGCCTCAGGCTATCCCGGTCCAAGCCCCGGCCCCGGCACCTGTCGCTTCACCTGTCGCGCGATCCCCCGAGGAAATCGAAATGGGGGATATTGTCCAGCTTATCAATACCGGTCACTACGAGCAGGGCACTATCAAGGTTAGTTTTAAATCACTCCCATATATTCGATGTTCCTACTAACGTCAAATTTCCTAGTGGCTCCAATCGAACCAGCAAGCTGACCTATTTGACAACTTCTTTGTCCACATATCTCCGGCCTACTTGTCCCGACTTTCTGCGATCGTCATGCTCTCCGTGGCCGTTGCTGTCACCACTACCATGCAAACCAACATTGGCCAGCGCCTTCAATGGCTCGAGGTGGTTCTCCAAAACGTGAACCCCAGGGTATGTCATTATCCTAGCTCAAATATTTGTATCATGGCGACTAACTCTCTGGCTTTTTAGGACACCGATCTCCGCGAAGTCGCGCCTCGCATTCTGGACATCATGAGCCAGCGC